ATATGATAATGACTTGTATTTGTTAAATGTTTGCTGTGTGCTGGAAATTAAGCCAAGGACTCAGCCTTACGTCGATCAGCTCATTTAACCATCATGGCCATCTTTTAAGTGCCTAACACTGGGCCAGTAAGTATCCCCATCACACAGAAGAAGAAATAATGCTCAGAGATCTTGGGTGACTCATTCAAGAATCATGGTCTATCTGATTGCAGAGTCCAAACTTTTATCAGTACAGTTTAACGACAAAAAGCTAAAAATTCTGCCAAGCAGAATAATGACAAAACACCAGTCTTTCTTCCTACTAAGGTTCTTACTGCCGATGAAGGTAATTTTCCACTGTAAGTAAACAGAGTTTTTAGGCATAATTACATCCATTATAAGCCCCAAATCCTCCTCTAACTAACTTCTCACCAGAATTAAACCATCTGTAACCAAACTAATGGTAACCTCCAGGTTTTACTTCTTTTAGTCCCCATCGACCTTCTAGAAAACAGACCATAACAAGTAAAGTAAAACCCGTAAGTAAATCAGTTAAAGAAAGTGAAAAAGATTTTATGTTAGCCACAAACTAGAGTTAAAATGCACAATCATGAAATAACTATACTTCCCAGGGCACAGTACTAATGCAAATAATATTCTCTATAACATAGATCTCTTTCCCATCAACTCAGATGAACAAACGCCTATTTACCCTATGACAGGTGCTGCACTTGGCAGAGGGGATATAAAAGTAACACAAGACACATGAACCTTGTCCCAAGGGAGGAGGAAGGCAGATCAGAAAACAAATACATTTGTATATGGGCAGGGAGAGTAAAATAAAAATAAACCTAAGTATAGTGTTAGCCCAGAGCAGGCTCTGAGGAACTGGGAAGAACTGAGCTCTTATGCTAAGATCACAGGCACATGACTAACTATACAGCCAATTAAACCATGATGCTAAGGCCATCTTGCATTTTCAAAGAGTGCTGCTTCCCCACAAACAGGATCCTCTAGCTATTAGGCTCAGAAAAAGCTGAAAATGAAAGGAACCCACAAGATCTTCCAGTCTGATGCATCATTCTACAAGGGGAGATGGGAATCTAGGAGAGGGTAAGTGAATATATACCCACGATCACAGAGCAAGTTATAAGCAGCACAATATCACAACTTGTCCCAGGTCTCCTGGTTTCTTCATCAATTTATTCAACTAACACGTGTGGAGCGTGTGTGCCAGATACCAGTAAACAAAGGAACAGGTCTGTGCTTTCCCCAGCCCATCAGCCTGATGGTGAAGCCTGACTTCCTGTATCTGAGACAGGAAGTGCTTTGAGAGAATGACAAGAGAGCTCGTCTAAGATTGAGGAATTGGAGAGGGCTCCCAGGGGAAGTGACATTTAAGCTGAACGACAAAGGACAGCAGAAACGGACAGGAGAGAAGAACTGGGAGTAGTGGGGCAGCTCCTATCTGAGACAGGAAAGAGTGGATCAAGGTCCAGGAACAGGAGGAAAGCAAGTGTGGTCGGGGGAGAGAAGCAGGATGAGGAAGGTCTGGGAGGGGGAGAAATCCTAACACTGTAACCAAACTGATGGTAACCCCCAGGAGGCTAGTGGCAATTATTCAGACTGCTGAGTAGTCTCTACATTTCCATCCTGGGAAGACTGAAAACGTGAAAGCAGAGAAGGAAGTCAATAGTGCAGGGTCCCAGAATCTGCTGTCCTCAACGTCTTCCATGGAACTGCCTAAACGCGTACGACCCTCTGACAACCTGCAGGTTAAGACACTGCTTGTGTTGAGTCCAGAGGCCTAAGCATTTCCCCAAAGAAAACCTCAGTCCCCCAGGCCACAAGAGCCAGTCCCCCTGCCAGTGCAGTTGTAGTACTAGGTGACAAAAACCTCCCAGGGAGCTATGTAACTTTAAAGCACACTCCAAGGAAAGTGTCTTCATTCAGAACCAAGCTCTGGAAGCCAACAGTGCCCTCCCCACAAGCCAAGACAGAAAGACTTCCATCCATGCCAAGCCCTCCAGGACCAGCCCTGAGGTAGATCGAGACTCAATAAAGGGAAGGTAGAGGCAGGTGGGGGAGTGGGGGCAGGAGAGATGTGGGCACCTGGAGCCACCAGCTGTCCATCCCCTTGAGGATGCTGCCTGAACCAAGCCGGCTTCCTATCATGACCTATTTTCTTTTCTTCTTTCTTCCCAAAGATCACCACTTCCAATCAGCTCGCTCACAAAAGAAGCCATCCTATGGGTTTTTTTCTTCAATGTTCAGGTCCCTGAATGAAAGCACAGTCTTAGGTTCTTCCAAAGGTCCTTAGCGCTGGCAAAGATGGAAAATGCACAGAGCTGGCTTAACCGACTGGCTCCTTCTCCCACCCCATCCCCTTTTTAAGTGACTCCAATAGGAAAAAATAATGGTGGAACTGGTAGGTCTTTGGGTAACAAAAGGCTGAAGGACTCACTGTATATTATTTGTATTAGGCAAAAACTGGAAGCAACTATCATGCTAAGAGTAAGAAATGGATGAACAAAAATGTGACATTATCATATAATTGAGTACCGTGAGCAATGAGAATGAAAGAACTGCTTACACACAACCCTGTGGATCCATCTCACAAACATAATGTTGCACAAAACAAGCCAGACATGAAGATTATATGCTGCATGATGCTATTTTTAGAAAGTTTACAAACAAGCAAAATTAATATCTTGTTCCTTTGGGAAGGAGAAACATGACTGTGAGTAATCAGAGTATGAGAGGGCCATCTAGAGTGCCATGTTTTATGTCTTGACCTGGGCAGTGGTTACATAATGTTCACTTGGTGATGTGCAACTTACGATGCGTGTGTTTTCTGTCTGTGTACACATACACACACACACAAAGGGTTTTTGGCATCTGGGGAAAGGAAAAGGAAAGTATCTAGAACTTCAGCTTTACACGCCACAGCTGTGAATGGAGAAGGACCCTGGCTGGTGGAGGGCAAGATAAAGAGGCTAACTACATTGGGGATATGGTCTAAAAGGCAGCTAGCTGTGGGGTGGCAGGAACGCGGGGAAACAGTTTCAGGGTTTATTTCCTTCCTCCTCCTTGTACCTGTCAGTGAGAGCTTCGCAAAACGTACTCCAAAGGGAAGTGGGGCCAGGAGAGAAATGGGCTGGAACCACGCTGGCAGGGAGAAGGCAGGCAGCTGGGACGTTTCCAGCAGTGAGAAGACAAGATGGGAAGGAGGAAAAGAGAAGAGAAAGAAATCCTGAATGCCCGGAGTGAACAAAGAGAGCTCTCCTGAGCTGAAGATGTGTGGGGTGAGGGAATTCCCATGACTCAACCCTGTTTCTCTTCTCCCCTCCCTGAACCAACAACATGCGATATACACCTGCAGGAATACAGTTATTGCACCGCTCTGCTGTAATTTGTTTCCAAGTCTGGGAACTGGAAAAAACAATGAGTGAGAGTGAAGGGGTGTGTACAGCCAAAAAGTCCACATCCCCAGCATCCAGCACATGGTTTGGCATATAATTTGCACTGGAAAAAAAGTGTTCATTGAACAAATATGCGACAGAAAGAACAGGGTAGACATAAAGACTCTATGCCTCAGTATTTTAAAAAATCTATAAGAAACAGTTTAAGTGGCCAAAACTGTGAGAAGGGAATGCTGTGCAGCTACTAAAAATTATAAGCAACAGTAGCTAGCATCTGTGGGGTGCTTTCCAGTTTACAGAGACTGGCACCTCACCCTTGGCTGATACTGAATTTTATGGACTTTGTTGCCATACTGAAACATGAAAATGACACATTAGGAACAATCTCCCTGAAGAGGCCAGAAAGATCAGAGATGGGGGACTAAGGAGTTTTGGTGGAAAGAGTAGGGGTGGGTCCATATCCTCCAGCAATACCAACAGGGGCTGGTAGTTCTGGGTAGTCAGCAGAAAAATTCAGTTAGCTGTTTTTGTAAATAACTGTGTTAATGTCACATACTGTATTTCAATTCACTTCCTCTCTTTATTGTTCTGGCAGGGGGAAAACTTTACTTCCAGTGAAGATTTAATTCAGAGCGCTTTAACAATCATTCCCAGGACTTCCTGTTGGGTAAATATCCTCTGTAAGCAGAGTTTTTGATACTTGGTGTGGACTCAGTTCGTGTCCTGTGGTTTTGCTCGTGATCCTAACCTCAGGAAACCAAATAGTCAAACCTATCTACACACAGACTTTTTTAGGCTGCCTTCCTGATTGCAACAGTGTTTTAAAGAAAGGCGGGGGCAGAAAAAACAAACCTCCCTCCTCCCTGTGAGAAACTGGGCCTGATGTTTAATGACCCATGAAAAAGTTAAGTCATGGACACTTTAAACTTGGGCACTCGCTCCTTGCTCTAATTGTTCCTGTAGAAACTTGGTTCTGCAGCAGTGACTGTCCTAAAAGAAAATTTTCTGCAGTCTGAATCCTTGCTGAGCGTTTCTGTACTGCTTTGGGTGACTTCCTGCAAGCGCTTAACGGCAATGAAAGGATTACCTAAAGGATATATTTCACAAAGCGCCCATCACACACTTGCAGAAATACTACATCTGATGCTAAAAGCTCCTTTTGCAAATGACAGTAACTCTGGAGAACACGCCCACAATACCCTTAGAGCATCCCCAAACTAGCTCTTAATAAACATTCCCATGTAAAAAGCAGCTACTTTTTAAAGGTCTGGTGAGAAACAGAGGCATTGGCTCCCTTTACAGTAATAGCAGAAATCTTTCAAGCAATGTTAATTGGAGCCTGCCGTGCGTGAGACGTGTTAGCGCCACATGGGGGGTGAGGAGCTGCCGCGGGTAGGGCCGCCACACATGGGCAAGGCAGGGGCGGGGAGGGGGCGTCAAGGGAACCAATCCTACCCTCGACTTCGACTCAACAATTTAAAAGCCGACAGTGTCTGGCAAAACGCCGGGCATCCTCCTGGAGCGACCTCCCAAATCCTCTTCCAGTACGGAGGGCGCAGGGGCTCCCCCCGAGAGCTGAAGCCCGGGAGCTAGGGGCAGATGAGGACAGCAGAAACCGAGCCTCGGGGGCGGAGAGTCACGGCGGAGGCGGGAAGCGCGCGAGTCCACCGCGGGGAGCAAGGGGGCGCCGCAGGGCGACCTGCCCTCCACTGCCCCACCGGCAGCCCGAAGCCCCCTCCACCAGGAGGATGTGAACTACCTCGGGCCCACCTGCCACCGCGGCGGTGCCGAAACCAGGAGCCCAGGGAAACGGGGCCGCAGGCAACAGCAGCGCCGCCTGTAGGCCCCGCCTCTGGGTCGGGAGCGCCCGGCCTCCGGAGCTGCGCGCCGCCGCCTCCTCCCGCGCGGGCACCTGCGCGCGACCCCGCCGCCGCGGGCCCTACCCAGCTGCGGCCCGCCGAGACCCCGGGCCAGGACTAGAGGGCAGGAGTGGGGCACGGGGGGCACACTGGCTCCCCACGCTCTGGGCCCGCGTGAGGCTGGCGCCGCCGCCGAAGTGTGCTTTGTTTTCGCGGCCGGAGCGGGGATGTCGGGACGGGAGTGGAACCCTCACCCCCGCCCGCGCAGGGCAAGGGCAGAGCCCGAGAGGGTCTGGGGGTTGCCGAAAGGAGCAAAGCCTTTTCTGCAACTCGGCGACGTTGGGCCCAGCCGTCGCCCAAGCCCGCTCCGCCCCTTCTCCTTCCGAACCCCCCAGCCCCGCAGATGCGCTCACCTGCTCTCCGCGACCCCCACGCCGCGGCTCATCGTCGCTCTGCAGCTGGGAGGGGGCTCCACGCGCGCCCCGGGCTCGGCGCTCAGTGCGCGCCGGGGCGGCTGCTGGAGCGGCTCGCGGAGGGAGCGCTGCCCTGCACACTCGGAGGCGGCTGACGCTGCGGGAGGAGGGAAGAGGGCGAGCGAGAGCCACCGGGGGTGGGGACTGGCTGGGAGGGGGTGCCGGGCGCGCATCCGCAGCGGCCGCTGCAGCCTGGGGCTGCCGAGGCTCCGGTAACGGAAACGCACGCTTGCCAGCGGCCCCGCGCGCGCACACTGGCGTGTACACCGGCGTGCGCACTCGCACACGTGCGCACACCGGCCCAGCCTTGGCTGCTGGTCGGCACCCTCGCCCTGAGGGAACTCGGCTTGATGACCCTAACCCGCGGTTTCTGTGAAGAAGAACCAGCGCCATTCTTTCAGAAGGGGTCAGAGAGCTCAAGTCATCCAGATTGGGGCTGGCTACTCCAGTATCTGGGGATTTTCAGCTGCGAACCATGAGACACCCCCCCCCCAAGAGGTTCCCAGATTTGCTTCTTGGGATCTACAAACCCCCTGAAATTGTCAGGTTTTGAATCTAAAATACAAGTGCCTGGAATGAGGTGCCACAGCTTTTATCAGATTAACGGCTGGCTTAAACCGCCCCCCCCCCAAAAAAAACCCATGAAGAGGGCGCCTGGGTGGCTCAGTGGGTTAAGCCTCTGCCTTTGGCTCAGGTCATGATCTCAGGGTCCTGGGATCGAGTCCCGCATCGGGCTCCCTGCTCAGCAGGGAGCCTGCTTCCCTCTCTCTCTCTGCCTGCCTCTCTGTCTACTTGTGATCTTTCTCTGTCAAATAAATAAATAAAATCTTTAAAAAAAAAAAAAAAAAAAAACCCATGAAGATGGATGGATTAAACCAGTGGTTCCCAAACTTTGCAATGTATTAAATCACCCAGAGAGCTTTTAAAATAGCAATGCCCCAGGTAGCATCTCAAACCAATTAAACCAGTGAAGTGGGACCCAGGCAGCAATATTTTTAAAGTTCCCATGTGATTCCAATGCTCAGGAAAGCATGAGAACCACTGCCTAGACGGTTGGTGGCTCTCACCTATCACTGTTCTCTTTTACCCCGATTTTCAGTATGGTTGTTTGTCTGTCTTCCATGAAGTGGTGGCTGTCACAGCACCTAGCCCAGGTCTGGCTCACTACAGGGCGACTGGAGGAAGGAGGCAAAGGCAGAGTCCAGGATGCCAGCCTTCTCTTTGCTGTTTCTGAAATTCTCCCCAGGCTGAAATACCCCCAACCTCCTGGAAATGGCCTCCTGTAATGCCTGAAGCTGGGGAAGAAAGTGGTTCATTGCAGCTTGAAGAGACATCTGTCTTTTAGATTCCTCCAAAAGTCTCAGCCCCCTGCCTGCCTCACTGTGACCCAAGGTCCTGTGCTGGCAGTGTGGGCGAGCACAATAAAAGTCATAATCCCTGCTGGTGGAACACGCGTAAGTCCAACACTGTAGTCGATACTTCATATTCTAAGAGCTACCCTGGCACCGTTACTGGGCCTTGGTGTTCTCCCGCTGAACATCAACAGTTTCACAGAACATCAGCATCAGACGAGGCCTCTCTGGGACCACGATGGATCAAGACAAGAACAAGACCAAGAACAAGAACAAGACAAGACTCGCTGATCATGTCTGAACATAGACAAAATGTGAACATGGTCCAAGCCACAAAATACCAAACACACAGCTGTCCTGGCTAATAAGAGGGACTGCTGCTTCTTGGCCACTCATGGCCTTAGCCTTCCTCTAATCTGCCCTCCCTATGGCTAAGATTCATGAAGACACACATTCATAGAACGATCCCTGCTTTCTTTCTTTTTTTTTTTTTTAAGGTTTTATTTATTTATTTGACAGAGAGAGGGAGAGAGTTCACAAGTAGGCAGAGAGGCAGATAGAGAGGGAGGGGGAAACAGGCTCCCTGCTGAGCAGAGAGCCCAATGCGGGGCTCAATCCCAGGACCCTGAGACCATGACCTGAGCCGAAAGCAGAGGCTTTAACCCACTGAGCCACCCAGGTGTCCCCGATCCCTGCTTTCTTAAGCCTGCCTCCAAGTCAGTTAACAAGAGCCCAGATCCTTTAATAATATTTTCTAACATCCTTTCACTGAGACACCTACATGGTGTCCCTCACTGCAATGAGTAATAAATCCAGCTTGTATAACTACAGGTGTATTCCAAGTGGTCTTTGGCAAGAGGGCATTAAAAATAAATTTACTTAATCATTGCAATAACAACACAAGGTAAATATTACACCCTCTTTACATACAAGCTAAATAGGGTTCTAGATCATATAATGGAACTCACACCAGGCCACCAGCTGTCAGTGAAAGGCTGGTTCATGTTCACATGGGCTTGTGGAGAGCCAGAGTAGAGTATTGCCTACCCACACAAACTTTGGCTTCCAGATGAGCCTGAGCTCTAACCCCAGCTCTGCCTCTTCTATCTATGAGAATTTGAACAAGTTACTTAACTTTTCTCAACCTCAACTTCGTTGCCCCTCCCCGCAAAAGGGAAGACATCTAGGAACTCGTATTTTTTTAATTAAGATATAATTGACATACAACACTGTATCAATTTCAAGTATACAACATAATGATTCCATATTTGTATATATTGTGAAATCACCATAATAAGTCTAGTGAACATCCATCACCGCCCACAGATTTTTTTTCTCATGATAAGTACTTCCAGATATACTCTCTTAGCAACTTTCAAATATATAATACATTTTTTTAAAGATTTTATTTATTTATTTGACAGACAGAGATCACAAGTAGGCAGAGAGAGAGGAGGAAGCAGGCTCCCCGCTGAGCAGAAAGCCCGATGTGGGGCTCGATCCCAGGACCCTGGAATCATGACCAGAGCCGAAGGCAGAGGCTTTAACCCACTGAGCCACCCAGGTGCCCCTCAAATATATAATACATTATAATGAACTATAAGGCATTGGCATATTTTGTATAAGCTCCCCAAGTGGCCCAACCCAACCCCTGTTGGCCAACCCTGGTTTGGACTCCACTGACCTAATCTCCCTTTCCCTCCTTCCCATTCACTTCTCAACCAACTGTAACATTGTTCCTGACCCACTGCCCACTCTTGCTGAGGTCAGCAGTTACCTTGCAGCCGCTAGATCTGAGGATACTTTTCCATATGCCATTGACTCACTTGACCATTCTCCCCTTCCTAAAATTCTCCCTCTTTGGCTTCCAGGAGGCCCACGTAGTGTGGTAAGCAACTGAGGCCCAGAGAACTGAAACTCTTGATCCAACAGCCTGTGAGGCACTGAAGCCTATAAACAACCATGTGAGTGAGCTTGGAAGTGGATCCTTTACCCCAGCTGAGCTTTTTCATGATTGCAGCCCCAGTGGGCCAAGTCACTTCCAGATTCCTGACCCATGCAAACTATGACATAATAAATGTTTGTTGTCTTAAGCTGTTAAATTTCGGGGTAATTTGTTTTGCAGCAGTAAATAACTAATACAAACAGGAAACAAGATGCTTTGGTTAGTGCAGTGGAATCACATCACTTGTGCTTCAGCTTCAGTAAATTCAACCTTAGTTGGTTTGCAAAAGAGGGAGAGAGAACAGTTTACACAGTGTTGACAATTCTGCCTGCTATTCCAGTGCAATAATATGGTAGGATGAAAGAGGTGGGTCTGGTTTCATTGATCAGTCTCTGTCCCAGTCCTGGGCATCTCTCACAGAGGAGCAAGTCTGGATGCTGACTGTGCTGCTCATATTTTTAACTATCCATGTTTTGTACAAAGTGGGGAAAATAAGGTTAATTCACTAACTTGGGTTCTATATATAATGTGGTCAAAATAACCCCTGAAATCCCCTAACTAATCAAGATCTGAGCCCAGGAGTCCTCCAGGCAAAGAGCAGTACTGACCATAGGCCAGGGCCAACCGTGGGAACTTGTTTCAGAGGGCCCTACCGTGGGCCTCCTCTTCCTCCTCCATTTGTACCTCCCACAGGTTGAGGAGCCAATGAGCCCCAAGGGATGTGCCATTCTAGAGACTTTTTCCCCACCCAGTTTATAGACCAGACTCAGGATGAGAGACCCCAGATTTCCTGTCCAAATGGTCCTGAACCCACTTCTAGGGCCTGCATAGGCCTTTTTCCCAGATCCAACTTTCTATGGGTGGAGCGTACCCCCAGAGTGCACAGGCCAGAGTAAGGGGAGACCAAGGGCAGCTGCTTGACGGGATATGGATGGTGCTTGGGTGGTCCACGTGGGAGCTGAGTGGTCCACATGTGTGTACAGAGCCCGTCACCATGTGCACAAAGCAAGCAGTGGAAAACCAAGAAGGTGGCCCATGGACCCCGAGCCAGCTCTCCTAATGCTGCCTCACACTGGTGATGGACTCTGAGAAGTCTAACTCAACCTGGTCTTCCACATCATTTTACAGGAATATCTGTAAAGTCAGGAAAATGGAATGTATTTCATCTAACTTTTAAATATTTAGACATTACATATGGAGATTAGTCTTTACTATAGCCCTGCGTCCTGCAAATGATCAAGGAGCCCTGGCCAAGAACTAAATTGCTTGTATTTACTTCAGTTTACTCAGTTTTGGCCTCTCTTTGCCTGAGGAAGTGGAGGCCAAGGCATCATTTGAATGGGAGAGGACAGCAAGGGATAAAGTGATTACTTTTCCATCTCCTCTCCTTTTATTTAAATATATTTGTTTATTATTTTTCCCAACACATATGGTTAAACCCATGAAGATGGTGTGTCTTCTCTCTCTGAGGTCCAAATGAGGCTTGTTCTTGGAAACTCCTGTTGATAAAGCCCATGCTTGGATTTTTTTGTTTTGTGGTGGTTGTTTAATCCTTTCCCTGGGGTAAGTACTCATCTCAGTTAAGAGTGTTCATTCCAGACCATTTTCCCCAAATCTTCCTATATATTACAGAAAATACCATTTTTATATACGTTTGTCTCAAAAATTATGTGATACGTGCATTGTTTTTCAGTTTGATTTTACTCTACAGTGTATCTCAAAGGCCTATCCATCTTAAGGACAAATTTTGCTATTTATCTATTTAGCACTATTTGATTCATATAATTTTTATCTCATTTTGATACTAAAGATACTATATGAAGTTTGTATGTGAGTTGTGCTTGTTTTTAGATTAAACAGTAAGTTTATTTATCTTAATTCTTGGAGAATGGAATGTTAGTGGAGAGAGATTTGAAGAAAGAGGGTTTCCTGAAGCCTTCTTGGAGAATTCCTTAAATCCTATAACATCAGGGGCACCTGGGTGGCTCAGTTGGTTAAGCGTCCAACTCAGTCTCAACTCAGGTCTTGATCTCAGGGTCGTGAGTTCAAGCCCTGCATTGGGCTCCATGCTGGGTATGGAGCCTACTTACCAAAAAAAAAAAAAAAGATACTATAGGACTGAGAATCGTTTCTTGAAGTTGTGAATAGGAGAAGATCATGCATTTCCTGATTTACGCATGGCAAAGACTACTCAGGTTTCTCTCCACATCTGTTTTCTTTGTGTCACAGACTCTTGTCTTCTGTACCAGGCCTGGAAAAGCAGATGCAGCCAAGATACCAACCCTAAGAAGTTCTTTTGCTAGTGACATTTTCTAGTGGAAGTCTGTAGTTATGTATTCAAACAGCTCTTGGTTTTCTTCCTAAAGGCCATTGATCTATTCCCTTGGGTTCTGAGCCACCTTGGAGTTTTGCAATGTTTGTTTTCTAGAATGAGGCATCCAGCTTTTTGTTGAAGATGCTTTTCACGGCATCCAGGGACTTGCTGTGCACCGCTTTTTTCCAAATGACAAAACAAGCCGTCCTCCAGCTCCCATGGAGAAGGAGTGTTGCCCCCTGCTCCGCTGTCAGTCAGAGCTCACAATGGTACACCTTCCTTCCAGTGAAACACACCACAAATGACAACACGGCCCTTTGCCCAGAACTGCCAGACTGCCAGCGTTGAAGTTAAATCATTTATCTAGAAGAATCTTTATCTTGTTGTAATGGACTGAATGTTTGTGTCCCCTGCCCACATAATTTAGATGTTGAAACCCTACCCTCTGATGTGGTGATACTGGATGTGGGGCCTTTAGGAGGTACTTAGGTTTACATGAGGTCAGGATGGTGGGACCCACTCCCCAAAAAGAGGTGAGCGTCTTTATGGAAAGAGGAAGACACCAGAGCTCCCTTTCATCTTATGAGAAAATAGCGCAAAAGTGGCCATTTGCAAGCCAGGAAGAGAACTCTCACCAGAAACCAAATCTACCAGCACCTCAGACTTGCCCAGCTTCCAGAACCTTGAGAAATAAATGCCTGTTGTTTAAGCACCTGGGCTGTGACATTTTGTTGTGGCAGCCCAAGCTGACTCGGACACTCGTCTTTAGCCGTCTGTTGTTAACAAATGTTACTATATTTTGGGGAGGACTATTCTGTTTCTGCCTTTATCCAGCTAGCCTTTATCTCTTGGCTTCATTTACTTAGAGACAGAAAGCGTGTGAGAAGGAATTCAAGGGAATTAACTTCAGCTAGGAAGTTTGCATTCTTCCCTCCTACAATCCCTGACTTCCTCATTCTAATAGTGCACCTGAAGTGTATCTACTCCAAGATTGACTTCCAGATCTAGTTCATGACAAATCATCGTGTCTCCGATGATTTCTAGGGCTGGTACAGAATGACAAAATATTGCTCAACACAATTTTAACTCACCTTTATTTTTTAAAAGTAGATATCATCTGGGTTTTGTTTTTTTTTTTTTTAGGAGACAACAGGATAATTGTAATTCCAGAAAAATTGGAAATGTTCCTTTTGTGTGTTTTAGTA